TCGCGATTTTCGTGTCATCAAATCATCATATTCTTCTTCTTCTTCTCTTCAGACCCGCTAGCTCCTTACACCGAAGCAGTTGAAGCGTGATTTTTCACAGAACGTCTCCAAATTGCCGGAGGTGTGGCACGCACATCAAGCTATCGCTGTTTCTTGCGCAAGTCACTACGGTAGATCGTTGAGCTCCTCCACTGTAGTCCACTGAACAACGCCATTTGCTGCTAATCAGCATCACGTGAGCCGCATGCGCCGATGAGGCGTTTCCCAATGCGGTGCGCGCGCATCCTCGCTCGTAGCGTGAACCAGGTCTACGAGACTAAGCCAGGACGCCTGCAGAGGAACTCTTATCCTCCAGTGCCTTCTGTAAGTCATTATACACAATTTTAACTGGCTAGCTTGCGTTTTTAGTGTTGATTGCACGAGGAGCACTTGGTAGTGTGCGCCGTGTTACGCGGGGCTTGCGCAGCGCCTTCATTCTTTGTTCCCCCAGTTATAGCTATCATTGTAGTCTGATTACTGAAGCCTGCCTACGAACCACCCACACATATGTGCCACAACTAAATGCATCGTTGTTGTAGACACACGCATACACCCTGCTTCAGGTACATTAGCTCTGCTTTCAACAGTTATCTCTCAACACTCATGAACATCAGAGTGACTGAAAATGCAGAAGGCATGAAAAATAGTGGAACAAGTGAAAAATCATTTCTTTCTTCATATCACCAGCTCATGACACCATCCCTATATCTTTGTGTTATATAATTATAGTTCACACGTAAGTTTACTATGAGACAAAGATATAGGGATGTGTCATGTAGCTTGGTGCCTCTTTGCTGTGTAATGACCCTTGGTTTCAAAATCATCCTTTTTGGTGCTCACCAAGCCATCCCTATATCACCCCTTCATTTGAAGAATGATTTTTCCACTTGTATTAACACAAAAGTCTAGAGTACTAGATGATCAGTTTGTTGTTAGACTACATATAGACAGTTGCTATACCTCAGCGTGCACCCGAGCAAAGACTGAGAACTGACCTCGTCCTCGCTCCACGTCGCCCAGCAGCATATGATTCCATCCCGACAAGCGCAACAGGCCTCAGGTACGCCATCATCATCACACACTCCTACTCCTCGTCCCCAGATGTGTATCGTTGATACTATCGCACGACGTAGACTAGCAGGGGTGACCGTGAGCTATCATTTTGTTTCCCCTCTGTCACCACAGGACTGAACTGTATGGCATTCAAGCAAGTTTTGAAAAGCATTGTAATAACCACTTTGCTGAGTCATATATACCTTGGTGACGATCTTGTTTCATTACGGCTAGTTTCATCAGGAAGTTTGAACGCAGCACACAGTAGTGGTGTCGTCATCAAGCAAGTTTTGAAAAGCATTGTAATAAACGATTTGCGGAGTATATTATACCTTGGTGACATCTCTTGTTTGATTACGGATATTTCAGGAAGTTTGAACCGCACAGCACACCAGTAAAGGTGGTGTTCGTCAGCTGGAACGATACTCTGTGCATGAAACAAAGCAGAATTAGTGGTGATATGACTACGTTTTATTGACTCAAACTGTTGTTGCGTATCTCTTTGGAACTTTGCTTACATTACTTTAACAGTAACGTCATAGCAGTCCAGGTCCCCTGGGGATCAGGAGCTGCATGCAGGTAGACCCTCCCAGTCGGTTGGAGACTGAGAGCGTCCCTTATGTGAGTGGTATGGTCAAGCGAGGTAGGGACTTCAGAGGTTGGGTCAGTGGTGGTCATGGAAACTCCAAAACCCTGCTGTTTCAGTCCTGCCAACTAAGCAACTCATACATAGCAGCTTAGCTAGTTATGCCATTGCATGACTTACAGTGAATGGGGAGTCATAAAGTCTCCATCACAGGTGAACATATTTCCGACTGAACTCAAGGATAGTAGAAGCCATTCTCTTCCTCTCTCCACCTTCGAAGCACCCAGTCTTGTTGCTCGTCCTATTGCTGGTGGGACTCTTCCCCCTGCAAAACCGTGTCCCACCTGTCCCATAAAAGTGATTCTGGTACTACTGTGCTGTTTTGATAGGCTTTGCTGGCATCAAGACGCTTACGTGGAACACGGTCTCCTCTCCACCATCAGTGCACCCATCCAATGACTACGTCAGAGTTTGGGCATTTTGGTCGCGTGGGGCCGAGAGTCCAAGCCAACCCAGCCCCAGCCCGTGCAAATTGGACGCGAACGGCGAAAGCCAATGTGTCCCTTTCCTGTCGCCTTTGTCGTACAGTGTTCCAGTAGAGTATCGTAGAGACCCTCCTCCGTTTCCCTGAAGTGTTCAGCGTCACTTTTGAACTGGTCTCTTGAGGAATCGTGGCACCCACGCCCCAACACTAAGGGCACACGTCCCCACGATAGATGTGATTGGCGACTCTGCTACTAACTGCTTCATAGTTGTATCCCCTGGTAGAAGAGCATAATCTGCGCGGAAGACTGCGCGCTTTTATATGCGTTTACCCGTCCTCGCTCTGCTCGCGCCGCCGCCCGTGACAACCTACACCCTCCCCGGAGCGGAAATGCGATGCAGCACCGGCATGCAATTCAGTTACAGAGCGAAAAGCTGCAGCTGAGCTCCGCTGCTGAACGGACAGTGCCTGTACGTCTAGCTTCTAAATCTTCGACTAAAAACTCTAAAATCCCAAAAACACGCAAACCCAACCACTCAAACCCACCTAACTCTACCTCCAGCGGGAACTCAACATCCTTCCCTCCCCTACCCTCTTTTTACAGATCCCCACCAGACCCAATCTTAAGCGGTTAAAGTCTGGCGGTAGTGGCGACAATTATGATCGCACCTACGTATGACTAACGCACACGTAGACTAGCAGGTGGTGAACGTGAGCCTCATTTCCCTCTGTCACAACAGGACTAAACTGCAATGGACATTCAAGCAAGTTTTGAAAAGCATTATTATAAAAGAATTTGCTGAGTACCTTGGTGACATATCTTGTTTGATTACGGATATTTTCAGGAAGTTTGAACGCAGCACACCAGTAGGTGGTGTCGTCATCTGGAATGATAATCTGTGCATGAAAAATCAGAATTAGTGGTGATATGACTAAGTTTTATTGACTCAAAACTGTTGTTGCGTATCTATTGGAACTTTGCTTACATTATTAACAGTAACGTCATAGAAGTCCAGGTCCTGGGGATCAGGAGCTGCATCAGGGAGACCTCCCAGTAGGTTGAGACTGAGAGCTCCCTTATGTGAGTGTATGTCAGCGAAGGTAAGGACTTCAGAGGTTGGGTCAGTGGTGGCATGGAAACTCCAAATGACTCTTGCGGTCTCAGCCTGCAAATAAGCACTATAATATATAGCAGCTTACTATTATGTATTCATGACTTACAGTGATGGGGAGGTCATATTCATCACAGGTAACATATTTCCGACTGAACTCAAGGATAGTGAAGCCATTCTCTTCCTCTCCACCTTTCAGCACCCAGTCTTGTTGCTCGTCTATTGTGGGAGGTTCCCTTCCCCCTGCAAACAGGTCCTGCACAATGCTGTATGATAAAAAGATTTAGCTTGCATTTCACTAGGAACGCACATGGAACACAGGGTCTCCTTCATTAGGGACCCATCCTATGACCACGTCAGAGTCGGGCATTTGTCCGTTAGGCGAAAGTCCAAAGCCAACCCAACCCGTTGCATTCACGCGAACGGCGAAGGAAATTGTCTCTGCTTCATTGTCGAACGTCCAGTAGAGTTCGTACAGACCACCGTTTTCTTGAGTGTTTAGGGTTGTTTGAAAGGAGTAGCGGGAGAAATCGTGCTCGCAACGCACCAGACTCAGTGCCAAGGCAAAAACAGCTAGTTGCACTAGAGCTCGCATTTTGACTGTTTATTCGTGGGTATATAGACACGTACGATTTATTAGCGAAAGCAAACCGTTAGAGCGGATTATTGTAAGTAAGTGCGCATGCGCGGCTTCGTTACGCGCTTAGCCTCGGGAAATGCGCCGATCGATCTAGCCAGCGTCCAGCGAGAGAACTCTCTTCCATTCGACGGCATGCGCTGCAATCTTCGGTGACTAGTGACCGAGGCTGTACCTCTTCCCAATCTTCATGGTTCGAAGGTGCAACTTGCAAATAAGCTAGGATTCATTGCTCGTGCAGATACTGCTGCATGTCAGCTGCCTGGTGGACTAAGCGTAAGGTAAGTATATACCGTTTTGCTCACCTGCTGCTCACATGATCAAGCCCGACATGAACTGTTGGCCTTTGTCAATAAACGATTCTCATGTCTCGTAAGTGCTACTTCCATGCATTCCTTGCTTCTGTGCTAGACTGTTAAAATCCCTGTAAGTGCAGCTAAGTAATAGCTAACCCAACCCCACATCTTTGTCCTGGTAGTTTAGCCAATACTGTAGTAGCTACTGGAAAGAGAAAGATTTAGGGATGGGGTTAGTATGATTATCAGCCTCGCCCAGTTAGTGTATCTTGTTGAAGAGTAATCCCTACAACCCTCTTTATTTCAGAGAAACGACTTTCAACTTGTGAGTTATGCATGTATAAAATACCATGAAAAATACACCATGTGATGCCAAGAGAAAAAAGATGCGGAGCTAGGGCTAGGGCTAGGGCTAGGGATGTGATGCCAAGAGAAAAAAGATGCGGAGCTAGGGCTAGGGCTAGGGATGCCAAGAGAAAAAAGATGCGGAGCTAGGGCTAGGGCTAGGGCTAGGGATGTGATGCCAAGAGAAAAAAGATGCGAGCTGTGGACAGCTGTTTTGGGCTTATTGGCCCTCATCAGCAGAGCATGTACTTCACCTACCTCCTACAATTCCTTCCTGGTTGAATACCAGTGACCTTTACCGGCTCTGAGCCCTACCTCAACTTACCTGACCTGACTACGTATATTCCAACTAACACCACTCATGCATGCAAGGTGCCAATCTGACTGGTTTTTGTAGTAATCAATGAAAATTTACTGCTTTGAAGTGTTGTTTTAAGTTTGGCAGGCAGGTCTGGCAGAGTAATGTGTTACATTTTGATTGTTTCTCATGTTGGCTATAGATAGCTCACTACACTTATTACTTAGCTAGATGCTATAAACGTGTTTTTTCATGGTACAGTAAAAGCATCAGCTTGCTTGCTTGAGCCCCCTAGACACATAAAATTTATTGTCACCAGCAAACTATATACGTACACAATGGACACTTTTTTTAAACTTAAGACAGAGAAAGAGCAGAGGTAGCTAAAGTGCACGAGAAAAGTTAAGATTTCATCCGAGTGTGGCAGCCAGTAGAGAGAGGAGGAGCAGGAGAGCCACTGAGGCTCTCAGAACCACTCCACCTTCAGTAGCTTCAGTAGCTTCAGTGGTGCACTGGTCAGGAGCTATGTAGGGACAGCCAATCTCTGGAAACTTTGTCACTCTGTAAATTGCGTTCTGGAACCGAGGAAAACTCTTTACATGAAATGCATGTAAAATGTTTCATGACTCACCCCTTCACCCCTGCAGAAAGCACCTTGCATGCTTTCATCAACTGTTTCTTGAAACTTATCCACGTCCCAATCGACAGTGTTTAGCTTGCTGTAGTCTATCTCAGTTCCATTCACTATCTGATCACCTGACCTAATTGAACAGGCTAGAGTCTAGCTTTTCTCCTACCAAAACTCTGTATGTAACTCACGGCAATGATTTCAGGTAATCGCGCAGTGCGCTACTCTCAATTCGCGATATTGCAATTTGGAAATCCACTGCTGGGTAGTAGACTAAGAACGTGAAACACATCTCGTTTCGTGTACTGAGGCCTCCCTGGAATGGAGAACATTTTAACCCTTAGCAAGCCACTGCCATATATATATTATATATATTATATCCCAGAGCCTCCATAAGAATTTATATATGGCTATAATACTAGGAGTTAACATGTTACACACCAATTTCTGCTTATTTAAGGAGATACCCATGGCATCCAAAAGGTTTTAATATACACCAGATAACATAACAGACCAAAATTTACTTTAACTTACAAGAGTGACGCCATCTACACCTTCCGTCCCATAAAAACATTTAAGTTGAACAACGTCTCCCTGAACATAATAAAGATGGGTCCATGATATAATAATGCCTGCGCACAGATAGACAACACTCACAGGCTTGATGACGACTTCTCGTTTCAAGTGAGTTATTTGCTGGTAGTTAAAGTCATACTGCAGGTTCCTGTCAATCGGCTCCAGTTCCTCGTACACATCACACTCTGGGTTCTTACGGAAGTGCTGAACAGTCAGTCCATGACCTAAGTTAGATAGACAAGACAACTAGTTAGAACACGGGCATATACCTAGTTGCACCTTTGGTAAAGGGCGGTAAAAATGGTGCCAATGCCCATGGCTTTGTAAAACTCAACATCAGTAAAAGAACCTACCAACTACATGGGTGTGAAGGAAATTTCCAAAAACGCGAATACCATCTTCAGGAAGTATCTGTGGATTAAAAAATATATCTAATTATTATGCAAAACACGCCATTTTCATGATGCAACTTACAGCTTCTGTACATTCGCCAGTCAAGATGGCAGTGGTTGTGAAGCTCTTTGCATTGGGAGGAATTATTTGGTCCGGAGTAATATCGTGTCCAAATGTTAATATTCCAGCATCATATTCCCTCGCAGTGGAGGTATAATACATCCTCATGCCAGAGCTGTCCACAGTACCTGTATACGACAAAGTTATGCATAATGACTATGTAGCTCGAAAGGAATGTGGAAGTATTGACTAAATTTAGAAACTAAAAACTAAAAAGGAAATTCTTTCACTGTGCCCTATTGTAATGTTTAGCCCTGTGCACTGTCACATTCACTTTAACAAACTAGTGCCCCTTGTATTACACAGTAGGGAGACGGAATGTCTAGTTGATTCTTATACGTTGTGTGTAATGGTTGCAGCACCCGATATCATTGCAGGGTTGTCGTAGTGCAGCTCCATGAGGACGTACTGGGTGAATCCCTCCCCGCCAAATGGGTAGGCCACATTGTCAGGATACACAAACACCTGCAACACGATGATAAATGAATGTTGAACAACTAGGCTATTAGCTCTATAGCTAGCAGACGAGAAAAGCCAATGGCAAGTACTGAGAACTGACCTCCCCTCCCACAGCCCAGGCTGCAACGAGTATTCCAGAGCGACATGCGGAAACTGCCTCGGGCACACCATCTTCACACTCTCCTCCATTCCCCACATGTGTGTCGTTGACTCCCTCACACAGGTAGATCAACAGGTGGTGAACATGAGCCTCATTTCCCTCAGTCACAACAGGTCCAAACTGAGGAAAGACGAAAGGGAATTGCAGAAGTCAGTAAGTGAAGCCCCATCTCTGCCATAAATGAAAAGCACTAAAGTGCAAACCCTCGGCGAACTGTGTATGCGCGGTACTGCTAATGGCGCTTACGCATTCTGCATCACTTGCAATACTGGCTACGGCTGCAATTTATTGAGCTAGCTGTATAATTATAGCTAGCTACACTGCTTTTTAGTCTGCCGACGAACCGTTAAAGCTACTGTGCATTAGTACGGAACTGACCTTGGTAATGTATCTTGTCTGGTCACGGATGTTTTCGGGAAGTCTGAAAGCAGCACACCAGTAGGTGGTATCATTCTCTGGAATGATGATCTGTGCATAACGGCAAACACACTCGAGTGTCTATGGAAACATCCCATGGTTACACTTCTGAGGATATGCACTGGAACACTATCACACCATTCATAATGTGAATTTATAACTTGTAGTCCAACTTCAAACGACCCAGTGCTATAATAGAAATATACGCTGTATTCTATGGGAGGTGATTCGTGCCAAAATTCGACGATGTGACGAACCCGTTTTGTTCGTCTGGAGGAAGCGTGATTCGTCGGGTGGATGCGCGTTTGTTCCAGTGGAGAGGCGTGTCTCGTCGAGCGGAGGCGCGTTTTTACGAGTGGAGAGGCGTGTCTCGTCGAGCGGAGGCGAATTTTTACGAGTGGAGAGGCGTGTCTCGTCGAGAGGAGGAGGCAAGTTTTTTGAAGTGGAGAGGAGCGCGAAAGTGTGGAGAAGGCGGGTCTCGTTCAGCGGGAGGGGCGCGGTTTATGCGGGGCTGGACACGTCGTGAGAGCCCGGATGTCAGACCTAGAGCAGCTGGTGAGTGCGACCTCTCAGCTGCAGCAGCAGCTTCTTGAGAGCGCGGTACGCGGTCTTGAAGGTCAGCCATACTAGCCGTGTATGAATAGCCATCCTAGGAAGTTATTCTTATTAACGCCGTCCTTGCCCTTTGACCGGAGGCGGTTCTGGGAACCCGACGATGGAGATACGTCTCTCCACACGAAGAAACTTGCCTCCTTCCTCCTCTCGACTTGGCACGCCTCTCCACTTGAAAAAAACTTGCCTCCTCTCAACGAGACACGCCTCTCCACTCGTAAAAACTCGCCTCCGCTCGACGAGACACGCCTCTCCACTCGTAAAAACGCGCCTCCGCTCGACGAGACACGCCTCTCCACTGGAACAAACGCGCCTCCACCCGACGAATCACGCCTCCTCCAGACGAACAAAACGGGTTCGTCACATCGTCGAATTTTGGCACGAATCACCTCCCATAGTATTCTGTGCTGTGGGCTGAGGGCTGACCAATATCAGTATTGGACAGGAAGTCCTTATCACAACATCTAGCGCTAGGCGTAGTCCAAATTTTCTGGCTTCCAAAGCTTACACAACAGTCATTAGTATATACATTAGTAAATTCGGATGAAGCAGCAGAAATTCAGCACTGTGATTGGCTAGTTGGACTAGCCTACATCAACTAATAATTATAACATACGTGTCACAAGATTTGTGTAGCTATAACGTTCTTTTCAGATTACACTCTCATGTATAATAGAAATTCTTTGCAACTTACAGCATCAACGGTAATATCATAGTAGTCCAGGTCCTGGGGATCAGGAGCTGCATCAGGGAGACCTCCCAGTAGGTTGAGACTGAGAGCTCCCTTATGTGAGTGTCTGTCAGCGAAGGTAAGGACTTCAGAGGCTGGGTCAGTGGTGGCATGGAAACTCCAAATGACTCTTGCGGTCTCAGTCTACAATGTAACAAAATGTTTTAGCATGCTTTTGACATTCTCTCTGTTTTACAGTGATGGGGAGGTCATATTCATCACAGGTGACATATTTCCGACTGAACTCAAGGATAGTGAAGCCATTCTCTTCCTCTCCACCTTTCAGCATCCAGTCTTGTTGCTCGTCTATTGTGGGTGGTTCTCTTCCCCCTGCAAACCGGTCCTATAAAATAAAAGTGATATGGTATATACTATACTGTCTTTTGCTATAATATAGATAACGCTTACGTGGAACACGGTCTCTCCACCATCAGTGACCCATCCTATGACTACGTCAGAGTTTGGCATTTGTCCGTTGGGCGAGAGTCCAAGGCCAACCCAGCCCGTGGCATTGACGCGAACGGCGAAAGAAATGGTTTCCTTCGCATTGTCGAATTTCCAGTAGAGTTCGTAGAGACCTCCGTTTTCTGCAGTGTTCAGCGTCACTTTGAACGGGTAGCTGGAGAAATCGTAGGCACAAAACGCCACGCTAAGCGAGCACGCTAGAAAGATGAGTTTAGCAACAGCTTTCATGCTGAAAAATTTGGCTGCGGAAGAGACCAGCTAGTTATGCGAGTGCCGTTTTGCTGTGCTTTTATACTCCACCGCTCCGCGCCAGCGGGACGCTCGTTGCCCTCGTACGTAACTCCAGGGACGTGACACATGCGCTTGCATATCGGGACGTACGTGAACTCTGCACGATACGAGCAAAGTTGCCTAACTAATGGCCAGCACCTTTGAACGCTTCGACTGGTTCTCCCTTGCGGCCACTGCAGTGGCCTCAGTTGGGGTTGGAGGTGTGGCTCTCCTGCTAGGTTTGCTTCTCCTCCGCTCCAAAAGGCGGCAGCTGAGCCTCTGGGACAAGCTCGCGGTGTTTTGGCTCCTCTACAATGCCATCGTCCACTGGTCCATCGAGGGCTCCTTCGTATTTCTCTCGCTCACGGGGTCCGTCAACACGGCTGAAGGTCTCATGGCCGACCTCTGGAAGGAATACGCGAAGGCCGACGCGCGCTGGGGAGTATCCGACCCGACAATCGTTTCCCTTGAAATCCTTACTGTTTTCTTCAATGGAACCCTCACCCTCGTTCTCGTGCATGCAGTGTTGGCTGGGAGGTCCTACAGACACTTTGTGCAAGTGTTAGTGAATACGTGTGAGCTGTACGGAGGTTGGATGACGTTCGCCCCGGAGTGGCTAACGGGGAGTAAAAACTTGGACACCTCCTCCCCACTCTACTTATGGGTCTACCTTGTGTTTTTCAACGGTCTATGGGTTGTGGCTCCTGTATTACTGCTAGCTCAGTCATGCTTAGCTATATCATCTCATGCTAAAAGAAACTATCGAGGAAAGAAAGAGTAAAAATTCTTCATGCAAAAGTGGGCGGCACGTGTCGTTGGAAAACGCGCGCGGCGCGCACACGCGCAAGGGCGCGCCCGTAACAAAGCGGCATCGCTATCGCAAGAACCCCAATGGCGTGTTAAACACACCATACGAACCCGTATAGATGCAATGGGAATCTAATCGCGGTTCGGTGCGGAAATGTTATCTGACTATTGCTATGCATGATTGCAGCAAACCCATCGCCAGAGTCCTGAATGAATAAGCTCTGTGGCTCAGGTTTCAGTTGAGTCAATACTGCCTGGCAGACCTGTGTTAGATTCTACAAAGCCCAGTATGCCCACTGAAGCAAGGGCAGGGCATACTATGTAGAAGAGTATAATATTATTCTTGATTTCCCTCTAGGGAGTAAACTGCAGGAACATTGCTGAAATTCTACAGGTCTTCCCACGTACAAAATTGTCCCCACCTGTCACACTGTCTGGAGTTTTGCAACCTCATTAGCAATATTGTGAGTGCACAGAAAACGAGCACTATAATTATACTAGTACGAAAACCAAGAGGTAGATACCCCATAGATGTTCGACACTCCTTCACACTGCATGAAATCTGCTTCGCCTCCTGTGTGCAGGACCTGGGCCAGCGCCGTATGAGCGAGGAAGAGGCCTCGTGTGCCGACACCTGCGCTGCTAAGTTGATGAAATCTATAAGCTAGTGACCAGCTGCAATGGCAGAAATGCTAGTGTGGGTCTTACAGACAAATTTTGAACTGGCACAGGTGCATGGTGGGTGGGCCAATAAGTGTCTAGTCTCAAGGGGACTGGGACTACTATGCATGCTGCATGTCCTTAGTTTTGTGCACCTAAGGGAATTGTTTTAACACTTACACTCCAATCTTCTACATTCTTTCTTTTCCACTGACAGATGTCCTGCCAGACAAACATGCATGCAGCTGGGGTTTACTCATCAACATTTTTGTACTTGGGTTATCAGTCTCACATGAGCCCACCTAGTTGTGTGATGTTTATATATACACAGTAAGTATATACTGTCATTTGGCATGCACATTTTATATCCCTGGAACTGGGGGAGGGTCATTCTCCATAATATATTGTAAGTGTGCCAGTCTCCTGGGATCTCAATGTATCAACCTAGAGTTACCTGCAAAATATTATGATTAAAACAAATGTGGTAGCTAGGAGTATTTAGGGATTTTGTGTGCTTAGGGAGGATTGTGCCCACAAATGAAATGTCCATCATTGCTTTCTTCATGTGACAGCCAAATGTCCATATATAGTGTTTGGAGCCTTTAAAATGGAACGACTTCAGCTCGGGTAGCCTTGAGGAGTTCACAGATATGTTTGACTCCAGGAAGTGGTTGTAATGAGGTGGTGTGTTGTGCTGTGGCTATATGTATATATACTTCCTGTTCCTGGGTTGTGATATCACTGTGAGTCATCACCACCCCTTATCCTCTGTCTGTGGTCCTCCAACTGTGTGTACAGGTTGTTCATCTCTGCCCTGACTCCTTGAGGTGTACACATTATGGCTACTTTGGTCTCAACAACTCTTTTTTTGTGTTATCGGCTCCATGGAATAATAGTGCATACTACACTTACTGACCACATCTTCCATCTTAGGTATCTGCAGTATAGTCCCTCCCTCATTACACTATAGTCTGCAGTATAGTCCCTCCCTCATTACACTATAGTCTGCAGTATAGTCCCTCCCTCATTACACTATAGTCTGCAGTATAGTCCCTCCCTCATTACACTATACTCTGCAGTATAGTCCCTCATTACACTACCCTGCAGTATAGTCCCTCATTGCATGAATGGTGTGTTTGTCTGATTAGTTGTAGCTACTCCTTAGCTCATTCATCACACGCTGTTTGCTTCTGCTCAAAAGGCAAGGGCGAACCACCTCATTGCAGTGACTCCGGCACACCTCCTTGTATTATGGAGGTGGCCAAGATTGCTTGTTATGAAGCCCACAACACGTTACCCTCTTCTCATTTGATGCTGTCCTACACAGTGTTTCACTGCTGCGCAATGTCATTCACCCATTAATGCAATGGGTGTAACGTTTCTTTCAAGTGTGATATCCATAAGCCCTGCTAATTAACGTCAGTGCATAGTCACTGGCACGGATATAGAGCAGGCAAACACGCCTTGCCTGGCTGTATACATTTGTGTCTTGCTACCTTACAGCCCTAAAAATGTATATAGGGATTCACCGCTTCTGGCAAAGTGGTCCTACAAAGAGGAGCAGCTGGCAGTGGGTTTGCAAGGGGAGTGTGGCATGTACATAAGTGGTGGTTAATTACTACATGTCAGCAGTGCATTTATGATCCCGGTGCCTCTGAGCTGGCAATGATTTTACTCACAGCACCATTTGTGGCCAGGAAGTGGATGTGTTGGATCCTGGACACATGTATATCTCTGTCACCTTGTCCTCTTCTCCACAATGGACAAACAGTCATGTCAGTCATGTATCTACTCACCTATAAAATGCCTAGGCTAGCCCTGAGATATACATGTAAGTTTTGGGACTAGATGGCTCCAGCTGTTACATATGGTGTCAGGAGTGGGATAAGATCCTCAGGGCTAGCCTAGGCATTTTATAGGTGAGTAGATACATGACTGACATGACTGTTTGTCCATTGTGGAGAAGAGGACAAGGTGACAGAGATATACATGTAAGTTTTGCTGACTAGATGGCTCCAGCTGTTGTATGCTCTCCATGTCCCAGGTGGTACACAGCAGCAAGTCAGCAACCATGTCCTTCCGAAACCAGCACATTGTGCTGTGCAACTTTTACCGATACTAGTGCCGTATTCAGCCGACAGACACAATGAAAGTGTCCAAAATAAATTAAAACGATCTCTTTATTAGAGAGGCATCATTTCAGAGGTGTCGTCATTATTTTGTTCTGACCTGGTGCGTAGGTATATATTAGCCAAAGCAAGGACAAAAAATCTTAATGAATAAACGCAAACTTGAGCCTTAGTCTTCCAGCTGTTTGCAGTAAACCCGAAATGTGTGCAGGTGTCCCTTATTTGAGGTAGCTAGCATACCTACTGTAATGTACACACAGGATTTGTTAATTTTGCGTGGTTTGCTCACCTGTTACAACATTAGTACAATTTGGCAGACACTGTGTGCAATCTCTTTGGTGTGGTATATATTATACTGCACAGGAGGCTCCATATCATTAGTCATTAGTATATACATTCATGGCATAGCAGAAATTCAGCATTGTGATTGGCTAGGTGGACTACAAATAACTTAACTTCTCGGCGCGTACAGGATATCCTCCTCGGCTGTTAACTTCGCCCTTGTCCAGTATAGTCAACAGCCTCGGAGTATATCCTGTACCGCCTCACCGCCTATATATAACATACACTCCTCTCTACCTTCCAATCAATGTCTGGTTAGCTATACTTGTCTACTCTGGGAAGAGTGTGGCCAATTACAACGGGAAAAGATGATAATAATATATGAGCAGTTTTCTTGGTTACCTTGAAAAGCAAAAAGGAATCACAATCGGAGAGAAAGTGATAAAATATGCTCGAGGGTGCCTAATTTATGCTGAATCAGCAATCCCATGCACTGCGCAACATTGGACCACACCCACAATTTTACACTGCTGTGCATTAAGTTTTTGTGACTACTGAATCGGCACAACCATGAACTGCTCCAAGGCCACCACAATGCAGGGGCTGGGGATGAGACTATGCTGTGGAAAGACGGGCTCTTTCCTTCCAAACTGGTCCTCCTAGGGTAAACAAAGTGCTGAAATGCTTTCACCCATACAATTATGCACATGATCACAGTCTCTCTTCCATCAGTGACTCATTCTGTGACCAGACATGTCGCCTCTTGGGGGGAGTACCCAGTCTGCACATGATCACAGTCTCTCTTCCATCAGTGACTCATTCTGTGATCAGACATGTCGCCTCTTGGGGGGAGTACCCAGTCTGCACATGATCACAGTCTCTCTTCCATCAGTGACTCATTCTGTGACCAGACATGTCGCCTCTTGGGGGGGAGTACCCAGTCTGCACATGATCACAGTCCCTCTTCCATCAGTGACTCATTCTGTGACCAGACATGTCGCCTCTTGGGGGGAGTACCCAGTCTGCACATGATCACAGTCCCTCTTCCATCGGTGACTCATTCTGTGACCAGACATGTCGCCTCTTGGGGGGAGTACCCAGTCTGCACATGATCACAGTCCCTCTTCCATCGGTGACTCATTCTGTGACCAGACATGTCGCCTCTTGGGGGGAGTACCCAGTCTGCACATGATCACAGTCTCTCTTCCATCAGTGACTCATTCTGTGACCAGACATGTCACTTCTTGGGAGAGTCTGAAGCCAACCATGCAGTCAGTGATCTTCATATATAGCCTTATTTCCAGGAAGTGCAAAAATTATTACACATTCCCACCAATATTTGCAAGAATAACTTCATGCAAACATATGATTAATGGATTTATGTCGTAACGTTATACATACTTTCATGACATAAGATGAAGCTATACACAAACTGTTGCCAGATTGTTATTGCAAGGCAGTGTTTGGGAAAAAGAATACTTTGTACAAGGACAGAGAATAATTTATGAAGGTTCAGAAAAATTCATCCAAGTGTGGCAACCAGTAGAGAGAGGAGGAGCAGGAGAGCCACCGAGGCTCTCAGAACCACTCCACCTTCAGTAGCTTCAGTGGTGGCCTCGGTGGTGGGCTCAGTGGTGCCAGAGATCCTCTCACAGCAGGTAGGAGGAGTGGAGTCTGTGCACTGGTCAGGAGCTATGTAGGAACAGCCAATCTCTGGAAACTTCATCGTTTTGAAAATCGCGTCCTGAAAAAAAACGTGTTCTCGTGTAAAACAACTGCATGCACCTTTAGTCATTGAATTCACTTACTTTGTCATCGCCCCCACAGTAGAGTTGCTGTGAGCTCTTATCCACAGTTTCCTGGAACCTCTGAATTTCACCTTCATTCCAATCAATGGTGTCCA